AATTTGGAATAGTGGTTCCTCTAATGATCTAGATTTTATTAGAAGTTCGCATTTCAAAGAGGTGCTCCAACGGGGATATTGAGATTCCCGGTGAAATTTCTAATATTTTTTTTGTCTATATATTATAAATGGTTGCCATCGGTTACAAATTCTAATAGTAAATGTAGATATTAGTCGTAGACTGACTGATTCATCATCGCCTATCCTAAACCATCGAAGCTACGAGTCTAAAATGTGGTCAGTATATAGTTTCGTTTTACGATGTAGAGACCTGCTACTACGATCGGATTTTCCATGATTCATATTTTAAAGAGGTCCTCAAATAAGTTTTTAGAGATATCAGAAAAGTTTATAGAGTACCTGAGTAGTTATTAAATCACGTTAATATACCAATGAGCTATATTACATCCAATCGGTCGCCCATCTAGATGGAATAATTATTTCACAAACTATAGGTACGCCGACGCCGATTTGTCCGTGAGCCGAGGTACGCTAAAACTGAGAATATACACTCATACCGAGATACACCTGTATTTAACGTAGGTACAGCGAAACCTCCAATCGGTTGGGGGCGAAAAAAAAATTCGAGTTATAGAAAAAATTGTGTGTACTCATTGAAATGCAGGGGCGAAGATATTCCTTCGAGTCATCGAAAATTCGACTTATAGACGTTCGAGTTATCGAGTTTCACTGTATACCATAATATACCAATGCGCAGGATTTGCCACGTGGAATAAAACAGCACACGGACGAAGCCGGGTTATTCTGGGGCTATAGGTTGGTAATATAGGTATAATATGTCTATTTTGGTTTTCGCAAAGTCTTCGCTCGCTCCGCCGGTATAGACTATACCCCGCCGGGGGGAGGGGGTTGTGTTATAATAATAATATGATGCCCATTTATGGACTATTAATAGCGTCGTCCGTTTAACGCAAAACACGATGGCACATTTTGATTGATCCGCTAATACGCCACCACCGCCGCCGCCGCCGGTGGGTTTTCCCTACGGTGTTATTGGGTGGGCCACGTGCGCCGGCACGTGTGTGTACCAATAAGGGGCAAGTTGCGAGGGTGAAAGTCCTGCAGATTTGTATCATATGCAAAGTACACATACATATTATTATTATTATTATATACCCTTCTCCGCCGGTCTAATCCGGTCAATATTTTTGTTTTTCGAGAGGGAGGGCGTCGTCGTAGCTGTTGATCCGCACCCCGCGATTGCCAAAACCATAAGTAAAAACGTTTGTATGCGTTTCTTTTTAAATCGCGTTAAGCCTCGCATTACGAGAGGAAATTATGCCTCACAGATTTCCGCGAACGATAGCCAAGTAAGTACGTCAAACGAGAAACACATAATATTATGTATAGTTGTTAATCACGCCCACTGCTGCTGATCGCGAGGATGAAAATATCGTTTTATCTCGGTGCCCAATTTGAATATAATATATTATGTTATATTATTATAATTATTGCTATACGACCTGTTAGAATATATTTCATTATAAATTCGTGAAAAATCGTGTTGATTTATAATAAGTAGGTACCTACGTGAGTGTACAGTATAATATTACGTAGGTATATAATAATATATTATGCTAATATTGACTAATGTCTAATGTGTATATATTTTAATCTATCGTTCAATTAATGTTTCTTTGAGATTTTTGTTTTATTTAAAGTGTCTGCCGAAAATAAATGATTACATAATATTGATTTGATTGCTATAATAAACATGACGTGTATATCTTCAAAACGTGCAATACGATCATATTTGCATTTACTTAAATAAAACGGAGAGGAAAAGGAAAACTGCTATATAATACCATCGCTTATATATTCGATAAATAATAATATAAATTATGGAGGTATACATAAATTAAAGAAAAAGTAATTATCGATTAGAGATATTTTGAAGAAGACAATAAAATAATATTCGAGTTTAATCTCTCGGCATAATTAATTACCAATTTTCTTTAACGTTATCCGAAGTTTTTATTTCTTTCCGCACGATAACAGCTTAATTTTTAATCGCATTTTAAGGCAGAGATCGTTTTAATACAATAATAATCCCATAAAACAAAAGCGTGGGAAGGAGTCCCGGGAGACCTGTAAAAGGGGTACGCCACTGTTGTGTAGTACACAGTATAATATTCTGAAACGACCAGAAAGTTGGGCACGTTAAAATTTCATTTCAGCCCGTGATTAAATTAAAACTGAATTAATGACTAGTTGTTTCAAACTTTCTGGGCTCTCAATTCTAATTTTAATAAAAATTATACTTTAGTTTTATTCAGTTTTTAATTTGTATTACCGCTTTTATTGTAAACAAAATTAAAACAAAATATAAATAAATAAGTACACATTTTGTTGGAAACACGATTAATATTATTATCATTCCTAAGTATAAAAAAAATTAGCTTTTTCGGTTGAACGCGTCTGTACAATAAAATAACAGCTGAACGACAACATTACTTGGATCGTCATGTTTGATTAGATTTGATTATTTTTCTGTCATTTTGATTGACAATAAATAAATCACACGGCCCATCTGTCAAATTCGTGACAATATTTTTATAAAAAAAAATGTAGAAAGAACTTCAAAACAGTAACTATCTTTTTTTTTTACTTCACCAAAATGTACACGTGAAATATAATTTAAAATTTATTTTTACGTATAATGTATTCTTAAAACACTATATTTGAAAAAAAATCATTCTTCTCGCCGGAGAAGCTTAAAATGAGAATGGTCTAAGGATTTTATCCCTCTAAACTAATCAATATACTATAATATGTCTACTTCTCAAATATATAATAATTAATTAAATCAAAGACACTTTTATAACTTTCCAATAAGTTGTCAATTACTTTTATTTATATAGCGCTATTATTACCTATGTTTCTTTTTTTTTTACTTTATTTTCTTTTATTTATTGTAAAATAATTTAAACCATTCGGGAATTGTTTCACTAGATCAGGGGTTCCCATACTTATTTGGTTCCCGGTGCCCTATTTGAACCATGGTTTTCTCTGGGCACCCTCATATCATGACTGATCATAAAAAATAGAAAAATTAAATAAAAACCAGTAAAGATTGTGATGGGCAATAATATGAAAATATTTATTTTACTTAAATTATACATATTTATACATTTATATTTACATAATCGTAATTATTTCCGTCACCGCTATGGCTGGGTTTTAAAATTTATTTTCGGATCATTTAAAATTCTTCAGCAGGTCGGCGCCCCTGTGAAGACTTCGAGGCGCACACTTTGGGAATCACTGCACTAGATAGTAGATATTATACCAGCTTTGCCCACTCCCGATTTGGCAATTATTACACTCATCAAAAATGTACTCGATAGCAAATAGTTTTTTCTTAAAATTAAAATGCATATAATATTCTACGAGTTTGACATTTTTGTGTAATTAGTAATAAATTACTAATTTGTTAGTACATACCTACTTAATACTGGCCCATGACTAATATAATACATAATGATTAGGTAATATTAATAATTGTATTTGGTATATGTTCACTTTACAAAATATATACTGATATAGTGCGGTATAGTGATTAAATGGAACCTACCTATATTGAAATCATTGTTTTAATATTTTAATACGCACTTAAGGTTTTGAAATGGTTTTATTATAACTTATATTATGCTCATAATATAGATAGGCACCTTAAAATACTTATGTATACATCGTCAATTATAGTTAGATTATACTGATTTGTGTATATTATAAAATATGAATTTATGTATTAAATGTCCATTATACATTTTTATGTAAATCCCAAAAACTACAAAATAACATTAATCACAAAATTATTTTTATTTTTTTAAATCGTAAATACTTTTTTTGCTATATAAAACTACTAAACTGTAAAATAAATCAAGTTTAAATCCAATGGGTTTGGAAAATTAATTGGGGGACGGGTATGTCTAATACCTACCTACTATAGTAGTTTAAATCTAAAAAGTAATATATATGAGGTAATAGTTTTCAATAATAATTTGTTTATTGAAAATATTTATAGTTTATTATTCTAATCTCTATTTTTATGGTATGGATATACTAATATTGTTACATTTATTATCCTTAAAAATGTAAATCTAATTTTGACTAAATTATAATGACCGTGCAGAGAAAATTAAATTTAGACGACATTTATAATATAAATTATTTGAGATGTAATAAAAATGTATATACATTATATATGTATTTTAACACAAACATATTTCCCTTGAATTCAGATTAGATTAATCCATATTATAGATACCGTTATTGAAATGTGGTTAGATAATTCACCTTTAATTATTAATCATACACAATATTATATTAATCGTAGTACAACTGCACTTACGTCGAATCGTACCTATACACGTTATAATTCAGTACAAACGACAGTACATATATATTTAGGAATTAAGTAAAATATTTTGCGTTATTGATATTAATCAGGAATATGTATTTTAATTTACAACTTTATCTTTTTTAAATTTAAATAAAGTGTATTTTACTTAGACTAGGCTAGAGCCTATTCGAAATGTGAATATTATCCGTATAACGATTCAAATAAATTATATTACCTAGCTTTATGGGAAAATGAAAACGGTAATAACGAAAAGAGTAAATGAAAACAAAAAACAATACTTATTATCAACTCGTTTTACAGTAGAAATGGCATTCATGTCCCTATTGTTCAGTAGATTGCATACCTAAATCCCGAGTTTAATACCTCCGGAAAAAAAACCTTTTAATAAACCCGGTCTTTTTTTTTTTCAAACGAATACACGCCGTAACGGCCGGTAGTTATAAATTTCACAACGGTTATCCTTGGGGTTTTGGGCATATCAAAGGGGTCCGGTAGTCGTTTTGAGGTTAGGAACGAGAGGGTTGACGGAGGAGTAGCAGCAGCAGCGGTATACAGCGATCGGGGGCTCTACCCTCCCGCCGCCGCCGCCGTTGGCCCGAGAGACTGATACAATTTATTTAGTAATTATGAGGATGGGTCTCTGGTGGGCCATTCGGACCAAGTTCGGAGCCGTGGAGCCAAGCCGTCCCCCCACCTCCCCTCTACCAGTTGCTCCTGGGCGGCTCATAATGGAAACTAATAGAATTAACAAACGCTGATGAGACTCCACCGGGTTAGTTTTCTCGGGTATTTCCCTCCCCTTTTCACTATATCCATCTCCTTCTATATACTTCTCTTGCTCGTCGCACTCTCTCCCACTCACTCTATTTCTCTGTGTATTTCGAGAGAGTAGCTGATGGGCGCGTGAGAGAGAAAGAGAGCTAGACAGTGAACGTTCGCTGTAAAGAGAGTATATAAACTCGGACGGTGGGTGGTGGGTGGGGTAACGACGACGGTGCGACGGGGAACGGCGAGGGGTTGGTTTTCCATTATCGGACATAATGGAAAATTAAATTGACTCGGCGTATACGAATTCAAGATACCACGCCAAGGTACTTATTTATTATCTCACCACCGCTACTGTCATTGTGTATATATATAAGTATATATATACATTATACAGTGTTGTCAGACTTAGTGTGCCAAGCTATATATGTATGGTGCATTTTAATACTCAATTTCCGCTAGGTTTTCGATCGAACATAGTTCGAATTGTATTACTAGCTTTAACTATATAAGTACTCGAGGGTTTTTAAAAAATAAATCGTACGTTCAATATTGAATTGGTAATGAAAATTATTTTTGCATTTAAAAAAGCTACTTCAAGAAAGGAATGTATATACTAAACATAAGTATTTTGTGCTTGTGTACCGTGTACATATTTTAAACATATCGATTATTTATCATTTCAAAACTGTATGTCTGTATCCATTTGAGAATATGATGCTGTAAATTTTAAATCTAGTAATTCGGAAAACTAATGCGTATAGTTGCAGATGCATATCAGACGGTAAAATATTTAACCCCACAAATGTGATCGAAACTGCAGGATGTTCACACCACCCCAAGGGATCGTATAGGGGACGTCAGGTGTCATTAAATAGACCTCATTGGTTCTTGGTTACTTCACTCAACATATATTTCTTGTAAACTTTTCGAGTTCAATAAAAGTGTAATCAGACATTTATGTTTTTGTCAACCAATTGTGATTATCGAATCTGCTCGAGGCAGTACTATATTAGGTATATTCACTCTATTGTATGTATGTATGAAATTAAATCAAATAAAAAATAAATATTGTATATACATTTAAAATAATATTAATTGCAGAGGTATATTTATTATAATAAACTATACATAACTACTCACATAATATTTTACTATTGATTGTGTTTTACTTTGTTTTTTTCTCCTCAAATTTACCAGGAATATTTTAAAAACAAACTAAATTTATTAAAACCAGTAAAGTCAAATAAATATAAAACCCTGCAAAGTATATTACAATAATATTTTAATAATATATTATAATATAGTTACAAAAATGAATACACTTTTTTTCTGTATACGAGATGTGTTCGGATTTAGTTTCACTATTGAAAACAAGCTTAGAATTTATTATAGCCATTTAAATATAACAACGGTGCAGCTCGCCAAACTCAGATAAGCGATTTCATATGAAAGCAAAACGAAATCACACAAAACCATTTTTTTATTTTTTTGTCATAAAGAACTTACCGTGTAGTGCAGTGTGGGAGATACGTAGGTATATAATATAATATTATTACCTATTCAAAGTAATAACAGCAGACATATTATGAATCGATTTGATCAACATATTTGCTTGCTGCAGGGCCCATTATATTGGAATTTCGTTCTTTAAAGGGTACATTATGATATATAATAGGTATATAATATTATATTACTCCGCGGATTCCACTGTAAACGCTCAAGTGTTCCATTTTTGATCATCAAAAGTATTTGGAAAATGACAACCGACCGGAGGCCACTTGAAAACAAATATATAGGCATTATATAGGTACCCCACACTAGGAACTTTGTCATCTGAATATAATAATAATATAATAATAAGAGGTATAGGTATGCATTACTTAATATACGTCTTCTCGAGGACTTATACAATTTAAATTATGGAAATATGACATCCGGTGGACATCTGCTTCTGTTGGATTTACTAAAAAAAAAAAACCCCACCAAGACGACAGTGCTCGATTTGTTTGTCATATTATTATTATTACACAAAATAATGTATATAGGTAACCTAACATGTATTATGTCGTTTTGCAGACAACTGCGAATGCCTCGACTATTGTTCCCTGTGCGCCCAACCACAACAATTTAAACCTGTCATATTGTCATATTATATTGACATTCGTCCTATAATATTATATAATACACTATACATTACACTGGAGTGGGTATACATACGATATTAAGAATTGATGTTTTTGAGTGCGTAAATCATTATATTTAGATCGAATATTGCTTGCGTGAATTTTTGGGCCAGAGCTAGGAATAGGTATACTCTTAAGTAGGTACCTACTTATTAGTTATTATCATTATACTAGAGCGCGGATTTTTATGCGATTTTATATTTTTTGATTTCACATTTTTTTAGATTTTTGTCAGCAATCTTAACGAATCATTATGGTTTGAAATTATGGCAAATTTGTATTTCATATTACTGCATATTTAAGGGTTGTTGCATATTCGTGCATATTTTGACAAAATTCAAAATTTATTGCATATCAAATCGACAATTTGAAAAAAGGTATAAGATAATATTTTGTCAAATAGAAAATTCAAAAATTAATTTTGTAATCACTAAATATGAACATTGAAATAAAGATAAGTCAGTTTAGATACCTAATTATAAGTTGTTTAATTTGTAACTTTTTTAATTCATCATCAATTTATAAACTAATAATTATTATTGTGAAATAAAAATTATGCATTTTTTTACAATTTTACCCTATAAAAAATATTTTTTCTTCATATTTTCACAATTTTGACTGTATATTATGTCATATTTTGAAAATTTTAAGTGCATAAAAATCCGTGATCTTATCATTACCAATCGGACGAAGTGACTATATTATATTGTTATAATTATTTTTTTCAGAAGAAGATTATCACTTTATCAACCAATTAATATTAAATTATGATTAAACGAAATTCCATTTTATAATGTATACCTACTTGCCCATTATATTTAATGAGCAATTATTACTTATTGTATCACTGTATTTATCAATATTTAAATGTCAAACTATTACACTTTATACAGGAAGTTCTTAAAAAAAAAAAACGTGCCTACTATAATATCTTTATTACAAATATTATAACTTAAAAAAAAAACACAGTTAAGAAAAAAAACTTTCAAAATACAATAAATGAAATTTTGTATAATAGAAGAAAAATAAATAAAAACCTGGTGTTGATACTTTATTATGTTTAAAAAAATATTTTAAATACACATATAAAAGTACTAAAATATTTAAATAAAATTAGTAATAATATAACGTGAAAATGTTATTTTTCTACATTTATAATAATATCATCGTTCAAACGGTTCGCACAATCCACAAACGATTTACCAACGTACTTTGTATATTTACAAACGAGGATTCGATCCGTTCATAATTCATGAGACTGACTGGAACCGGAAGTGCGATCGCCCATATTAGATACTCCGGAACTTGATAATGCCCTTTGACCACCCCTTCGTAACACACATGATGGTGGTAGCCATCACCCCCCCCCCCCTTGGCATCGTGTCTTCTTCAAAAAATATTCAACGCTATCATACTAATATAAACCATATGGAGACATAGTTATAGAATTTATATTATGATATAGTAGATACTATTATAGAACTTATTGATAAATGACCTGCAGATGGGCATGAGTTTGAGCTATATATTTAAAACAAAAATACTGTTGCATTTCCTCTCTCTGGTAAAGATCTTACAAAATCAGGTCAGTCATACTAGCGATATTATCTTAGTAGAGTATATTATATTATAGTAAGCCCCTAACTTCACACTTTTTGCAGCACCTATCGTTTTATTGGGTCTAGGCTATTATAGGTATATGTTTATGATTTTGTGGTTTTAAATTTCAGCTGTGGATATTTAAATTATATTGCTAAAATGTATATTATTTTACTACCAGTATAACTACGACTACCTACCTACTATAAGTGGCCTATATCTATTCTAACTACCAATTACCAAATCCAAACGATTATAACAGGGTTATTATTAAGTTATATAACTTATAACACTGCACGTGCTTTAGTGCAATATTACAAACATCTTGAAAAAAAATTGAGCCAATCGGACCAGCCGTTCTCGAGATTTGTGCTTAACAACACATTCGGTGATTCATTTTTATATTATAGATATATTATGGTTAAACGTATTTTATCGATACTTTTATAACATAAAATATCAATCAAACAAAATATAATACGTCGACATTTCAGTAAACTGACTTGTGCCTTTGGGATCGGTATACAATGACATGATTACCTACCTATGCCAGAAACTAAATTGTGCAAAGCAAATTTTATTTCGTCCACTGCAGTGAAATTGAACGAGTTGACGAAAGCGGCCGGAAAACGTCACGTTTTACAAACTGTTTGGAACAACTCGGATTTCACGGTCGGTCGTTTAAAACCGAGTTTGGTAGGTAGGTATAGGTCGTGTCCGCTATAGCGGTTTAGGATTTTAGGTACCTATATGTGTATATTCTGCACTCCGCCACACCGAGGCGGTTAACCAGTGTGGTCGCTACGCCGCAGAGAGTTTACGGTGTTTTCTGTGAACGCTGTAACCGTATATATAATATGAAGCAGATCTAATGGCTTTGGAGTGCCCCATATAGTAATCCGATAAGTCAGGAGCGTGTGTTTGTTTGATATGCGCTCGTGATGTGGTTCGGCTAAAAGTGTTTAAAATAAAAACAACAATGTATATAGCTATATAATATTATTATTATTATATAGCTCCTACGCGATTCTTCTATATATTACTGTTGTTATTATTATTATTATTATTTCTATCATCTTCGTCGTGGGTGCCGAGTTTAAATGCGTTGTGATATAGAGAGACTAAAGGATTCGATAAAACAATGTTACCTATATAGCAGCTAAAATCTGCTGCAACGAGCGTACCACAGATTTGCGCATTATATAAATATGACAAATTGCCCTAGCGAAGGCCATAGGGATTAATATATTGTTTGTGCGCCGACCGAGTGATTTTAAATGTAGGTATAGGTACCTATATAGGTAATGTACAGTTGTTGATTTAATATTGCAAACGATATCAGTAGTCGCGTATTATAACCATTATCCATTTCGAACACTTGTCGTTTAATCCTTGAGCTGCAATGATAATAATATTATACTTATAATACTATAGAATTACGATCACGCTTTTAAGTTTATAAGAAACGCGTAAATATGTCATCGTATAA